TTACTAGAGGAGCACTCATGCATCTGTTCTTGTTTACAAACACCGCCCAGAGAGAACTGGTTTCAATAAGTACTTAGAGAATACGCAACAGCAATTAACTTTCCTTGCCTTATTTCCTTGATTTTATAACAATAAAGTTACTGTTAAAGGGGCAATTTCAATTTTTTAAGATATTTATATTTATATTTAAAGATTTGCACGATTCAAAGGTACCTTTTAAATCTTTATATGAGTAAGAAAAAGGAAGATACCATCGTTTAAAATTCGGTGATGGTGATGGACCAAACCTCTTTAGAGTAAAAAAGTAGATGTTAGTTCCACATTTATTGAAAATATATTTCGGTCTGGGTTGACCCTTGTCAGTTCTGATGATAAAATAACCATCAAAATCGATGAAAAAAATATAAAGAAATGTTTGTTAAAAATCACAAGAATATAAACAAACAAAAGAGATTATTCAAAATAAAGATTTGGGCTGTCAAATGGACATAAGGGAAACGAACTCAGATTATGAGATGGAAAAAAGATAATTTGCAAATATTCACTTTTTAAGAAAATGCTTTAAGACAATTATTATTCCTTAAGATTGTTTCTGTCACAAAAGTTAAAAACAAACTGCTTAGATGAATGTGCTTACCATCGTTTTTCTATCTTTATACGTCTTGAATTCTTACAATTTTTTTCATTGTTTTTGTAGAAAAAATCCGAAATTCACTTTCATGGATAACCCGCATTAAAAAACTACATATTTTCCAAAATAACATGGCTATCTCAGTCGACCTGGAACAACCAACAGTTAAAATGGTATCTTTTGGATTTCGAAGTCAACTTTTTAAATAAAAGGTCACTTGAAATTACGTATACAGTCCCTTTAAGCGTGATGAATATAGATGATGAATCAAATTATGAATAACATGACTCTGCAGACGTTATCAGAAATAGTCCTTCCCAAGGTTGCATGAAAAGGTGGTTTACTCCAGAGGCGCTCCAATGTTCGGAAAATATCGTCTCCTAAGCATAGAAATGTAAAATCATAATCAAGCTCAACTCAATCTTTCCTTAAAGCAGGACCTAGGTCTTTACAGAGGCGCTTCTAACAGTAAAAAAAGAGTACAGGGAGACAGTATAAAATGTCAAATCCAAGTTAGACATTCACACATAAGAAACTTAAAGTATGCAGGGAAATTGAATAAAAACAAGATAATCAACAAGGAATGCCTGAATTCATCTAGCAACACTGTATTACCTTGGAGAACAGAGGTTTTTTATCTCTCCGGGTCTAGGCTTTCTACGGAAAAGCTCGCCTTGCACTCCTTACAAACAGGTCTGGTGAGCCAGTTTTTAAGAAAAACCTAGACCCATGGGAGAAATGTAAATATTCATCAACAACGGACCTTCTGATGTGGAATTGCATCAAATACAAGTATAATTTACAAGATGTTCTTACATATCAGTTTCAAGAGTCAAACTGTTGATAATCTCAAAACTCCTTTTTTAACATTTGTCATTTTTGTAAGTGGAGATTCCACGTTTGGTGAAGTGTCCTTTTCTCCACACCATGCAACAGAGCTCGAAAACATTTCCATAAATTATGTATAGATCTATATCTAGGATAGTCATAAAAATTCAGCAATCTACAAACCTGCTGAGATAGCAAATATCAAATTCCAGAAAATTTACTAGGGTTAATATTAAATGATTGTTTGTGTTCAGTGTCAGCAGCTGAGATATTGAATTTAGAAACATTAATTAGCTAAACTTCCTTGCAACAAACCAGAAATATAAGACATAATTAAAAAAGAAGAAGAGATTAGCAGAATTCTGAACCATCGAATAGATAAGAAGAATGTACAGACTATTTCTGATAATAACTATTTTAAAAATATCAAAAATAAATGGTGGGATGCTGTTTCACACTTGGGGTTTTTGGGGTCCATGGGATCATCACCCCCCAGGCGGGGTAGTTCCTGGGCCCCAAGAACCCACAAAGTGGAAAAAAATTAAGATACTGTAATACCATTAAAATAATTTTGTACAATTTTGTAATTATCTTTTATAAAAACCTTTAAAAAAATAAAATTGTTAAAAAATAAAAATCATAATTATAATCAGTGACGTCATATGAGGATTTTATCTATCTATGCTTAAGAGACGACATTTCCCGTACATTGGAGCGCATCGTGAGTTAGCAACCTTATTATACAACCTTGGTCTTTGCTCGACTCGATCTAGTTTAGAACTTAGGCGAGAATATTTAATGAGAATTGAGAATACAAACCTTTTTATTTTCGGAACAAATTAGAACTTAGTTTTATTTTTCGAAGTCCACCCCCNCCCCAAATCCACAAAATATACTATCAAATACGCGAACTTTTTTGGTAGTGTTTTATGATGTATACAAAATGAAAATTTTCACGAATAAAGCAACAATTAAAAGCTGAAATAGAAGATGGAGCCCTGTTTTATGGTACTCTTTATGGTTCCTATACATTAAAATTTAAACTATTGTTTAAAATTATGTATCTTCTCAATTTTTAATTGGATTTCAGAGACGACTGTTCGGAAATTATATTGTCTGTTTCCTTATATACATATGGTTCCTTGCAACTGTAATTTTTTTCTTTGTCAAATCATTTAATTAGCCATGAGAAAATCTATAATTAAGGCAGAAAACCTAATTTAACCATGAAATTTATAGATTTTAAGAGTTTTTGGTCGTCTTTACAGTCTAATCCTGGGTGGGTAACCCTATATCTTAATTGGAGTCTATCGATGTAAACCATCCTTTCCTGTGCTCATCAAACTTTGGTTTGTGCAGTTGCCCATCTAAAGAACGTCCCGTGGTCATATCATATTCTTAGATTATCTCCAAGCTTTAACGCCAACAAACATAAAAAAAACTCGAAAATCTTGGTATTTTCTGCATGCAAATATTTATATTATGCATTATACAATTTTTAAATGATACAATCTTTTCAAATTTTCAGATTAGTCCCGAAAATTACAATTTAAAGCTATAAACGATCTATTATGATTTCCCTGCTACTCAAAGTCATCCAAAGATTGCCAGCTCTCACATAAAAATATCAATGGGCGGAAACGTCATGTGTGTGTCTGTACCAAAAGAGTGTGTGTAAGGATACCGTACCAAAAGTGTGTACTGTAGGTTTATACAGTGCGTGTGAATCTCGGTATTTGTACAGTCTAGCAGAGTACATTTGTTTATTGTTAATTGTTTTCTTAAAAATAAGTTTTAAATGCATGTAATATATTATTTACATATTTAAGTCAACACTATAAAGCCAAATTTTCATGCAAAGAATATAATTTGATTAAAGTTTACAATAAATATAGTCGTTATTTAAGCTTTATTATAATTGACAACATTGTTCTGCAATTTCCTTGACTGTAATCATGTTGTGTGTCTGTACAAAAAGAGTGTGTGTTAGGTTACCGTACTGGTCTGCAAAGCAGTGCGACTGGCTTTCTCATGCCAGACCAGCGCCATTTCCTTTCCCTTTATTCCTATTCCCTGAAAAATATCCTATAAAAATTGCTATATAATAGATAAGTTTTCTTGTCTAAGGCTACAAAAAGATTAGATAATTAAAATCAAAGGGCAAGTTAATAGGTAAAAAATAACATAAACACGTACGCCCATACACACATATTTTGCCCCTTTGCATAACATAAAAATATGAAGCAGCAAATAGCTTAAAATGTAGATTGAGGTACGTTCTACAAAATTGTAATTAACTTTTCAGATTCTAAAATGTTGGTTTGGAAAACTCAGATTAATGGGAATTAAGATGGATTGGAAGGAAAGGGATCAACGCGGAATGGATCGAAAATATCGTGGATTGCTACAGCTGTGGATCGTTTATCTGTGCGTTGCACTAACTAGCCAAGGTTTCTAATAATAACCTTACAACATAATTATACTTTACACAGATTTTATCTTATTATAGATTAATATATCTACCCAGTTATCTGATTGCCTAGGGACGGGGGGGGGGGGGGCGTGGGTGTTTTCCCAAAGGCATTTTCCCAAGGGCGACATCCCAAGTTACAACTTTTATAGCGGCAACTTCCCAAAGGTTAGGCTAGGCCTTCTGAGGCTCCCAAAGAGCACCTTTGTGAATCAGACATGCCAATGTCACTCTTAAATTTACTTAAATTACTTGAATTTACTACGTTTTTAGTTCCGTTTTATTATAGAACCAATCATATTTTATCTAATGTAAACGACTGGTAGTTTTAAAAAACAATACCAAAAATATTCATTTAAAGGCCTAAAAGTGAATCCTGTGGACGAAGGCGCATTAACCTTGTTTACTGGGTAAATATAGATTGGAAGTGGTTCAGATTTATGCATAATGTCGGTAGCTGATATTGATCTATAGATATATAGATAATAGGTGTACTTTTCAATAGCAGAGGTCTCTCAAAAACGAAACAGACCAGAGCTGGGAACTTTTAAATGGTGGATATCGGCGGATTAATGCTTGATCCACTCTTATTCTTAATCTCGAGATTAAATAATGCTTGTTCTCCTCTTGTTATTAGTCTCCAGATTAATTCACCGATCGGAATTAAGGATATTCCATTCTAAAGTTTTCAGCTCTGAAAGAGTGGATTAAGCATTAATCCCGATATCCACCATTCAAAAGTGCCCAGCTCTGTTTATATTTTTACTGGATACTGCTGGATATGACGACTGTACGCAATAGATTCAATCTTAGTTTTTAAAGTCAAGGTTCCCGTACTGAAATTGTAAACTTTCTTTTTTAAGTAAATCATAATTAAATCAATTCAATCAAATCCTTTGAGGGCAGCCTTGATAATAATTAGGATGATAAAACAATAATAATTTTCTAGATGAGATGCTTGAGNATTTATTTATTTATTTATTTATTTATTTATTTATTTATTTATTTATTTATTTATTTATTTATTCATTTATCTTTTTAATTTATCTTTTTATTTATTTATTTATTTTTAGACCTTCTCCCCGTCAACTAAGTGAGGCATTCTCTAAGGGTTTGGATGGAAAAGGTTCAACACAAAATAGAACTGCTCTACTAGCTTTCTTTGGACAGGTTCGACGCCATTTTTGTTTTCTCTTTTCAATCATTGAAATCCATTGACCATTTTAGTTTACTGATATCTCTATTGTCTTTTTTTGGACATCTTTGGAATAGGAATATGACTCTGGGATTCAAATTAAGGGATTAAATGATCTAATGAATATACAATACAGTGAACACAGGCCTGAGCTGAAAACTTTAGAATGGTGGACATTGAGATAAATGCGTGATCCTCTCTTTTTCTAAATATCGAGACTAACCTAATCTTGTACTTGTATCCTGAAAAGTGTATAAAATTCAACCAATCAGAATCGCGTATATGAAGCGGATATATTTGAAATATTGCGCGCCATTTAAAATTATATACAGAAATGGGAGGAACTCTCTTTTTTTAAAAACCGGTTTTTGATTTTTCTCTCCTATATCCAAGAAAGAACGGTTAAAGGAGAAAATCAAAAGTGTGTCCATTGGATACTCAGATTAAGTAATCGGGATTAAGGATATCTCATTCTAAAGTTTTCAGCTCTGACCCATTTTATTTCAAATATGATTTTATGACTACCTGCAAAACGTTTTGCCTTTAAAAAACATCAAAACAACATCGGATTGCTACTTAAAGGGAGTGTCTGGCCAGATATGGGAGTTGAGCAGAGAATGCAGTATTGTAGAGAAATTTTTTAGAAATTATTTGAGACCTTTATTATTGAATTTTGCACTCTTTCTGAGTAATTATACACCGTAGAAAAATCTTATAAGTCTGAAATGATTTTAAAAAAAAATCTCTAGAATACTGCATTTTCAGCTCAACTATCAACTCTAGCCAGAACCTTTGATTTGTGTGATCTATTTGCTTAGATGTGTTGTAAATTCTAAAATGTTGACACTAATGTATAATTCTCAAAAAAAGAACAATTCACTTGATACATAAAGTGACTGTAAGCGTAATTTTAAAAGACCCTCCTTGCAAATCTGCCCCTTTAGTAAATCCAACCTATACGAAGCATAAAGTCTGACCGCGTCAACCTTGTTGCACCGGCTTATCCTGTTCATAGAGCTAGGTACAGTACAAACTGGGACCGGAAAGGTTGACCCGACTCGGAAATTCAAATGTACTACGGCTGTACGTGTACGTGCCTCCATGCAAAGATGGCAATGAACGATTTTCATCGGTTCTCTTAAAAGCTTTGTCTGATCAAGAATGAGTTAGATAAAAATATTTATAATTTAAAAATCTGATTATTTTTAATCGTGGGTTCTCAACAAAAATGACTTGTGCATTTCTTGTGAAGGTAAACAAAGAGAAATTAAACACTTTTATACCTAGAAGACGACAATATCTTCCACATTATTGATCAGATAAAGGTTTTACGGGTACCATTGTGAATGAGGTATTACCATATTTACTTGGAGGGACAGTTGAAATTACACTTACAATCCTTTTAATTGTTCAATAAAAATATTCTATAATCTTCTCTTTTTTATTTTTAAATTTCTAATTCAAATATTTTTTTTGATTTAAGGTTGTGACATCTGAGATTTTGATGGCAAGTGAATCCCCGTCCTGTCCTCTTGAGCTCAGCAGTATTCAGATATCTAAGTAAGATATACAGGGGGTTGAATGTAACAGGAGTTTACAGGGGGTTTTCATTTTTATTAAATACTAGGATTTTAGGGAGCTTCGCGCCCATCTTCTATTTCAATTGTAAACATGCAACATTGACAAAGAAAGAAAAAAAATGTTTGCAGATTTTCAAGATTTGAAAATTTTTGACAAAAATAAAAAACTTTTAAACACAAATTTTACAATTTTGATCATTAATAAACCTTCACTGGTGTTACGTGAGGTCCCGCAGAAATTTGGACCCGATCAGTTCAGCCGTTTCGACGTTTATTGGATACAAAACCCAAACAGACAAGCCAAATTTAGTTATTATAGATTTATGAAGAACACAAATATTTCACTTTTTTCCTTTCAAATAAATCCGTGAAAAAATGATGAAAAAAAATATATCTCAAAAGAATATATTTTACAAAGTTCTTGGAAATGTTTCAAATGTCCCAAGAGCTTGAAAAAGTTATTTGATCTTTGAAATATTTAAGTTCTGATTTGGGAGTTTAAAAGAGATTGGACAAAGTTTTAATAGCAACGATTAGTTTGACTACATCACATGAGGTTAATGATAGATTAACCACAGTCATAACAAGAAACACCCGGTATTTATTGACGAATAATCAGACGACTTTACGTATATATGTCTGGTAATTTTCAACAAACAATTAAGGCAGACCACATTTTAGAATTGGCATGACTTGGACTGTTTTACAAATATCGTTTTATTAATTATATTTGTAAAATTAGATTGCAAAGTCGTCTTATTATTTATAAATTAATTCCGAGTCTTTCCAAGTATGACTGTAGCACTACAGCAGTGAAAGTAGTTTAACTGCTTCAACCTGACTATCAATAGTGTACTAGGAAGGGGACGTAAAACAATTAACATTCCTGATGCATTTGTGAGCAATGGAAAAGTTCTCTCAGGGGCCGTAGAAATATCAGAGGGTTTTAACAATTTTTTTGCTAATATAGGTCCTGATCTGGCAAAAACTATTAAGGGCACTAAAAAACAATTTTCTGACTTTTTGTCACAGGGAACAGATGAAAACTTTGTTTTTGCAAATATGACCCCTGATATTATAAATGATGCTCTTAAAAAACTAAAAAGTAAAAACAGTTCTGGACCAGACAAAATTTCAACAAATTTGCTAAAGTCTATCATACCAATTATCATGGGTCCTATCTGTCATTTATTTGATTTATCTTTCAAAACTGGGTTTATTCCTACCACTCTTAAAACTGCAAAAATCGTCCCAATCTTCAAGGCTGGGGAAACGGATAATTTTACAAATTATAGGCCTATAAGTTTGCTTTCTTCGTTTTCAAAACTTTTAGAAAAAGTGGCAGCAAATCAAATTATGAAATATTTGAATAAATTTAAACTACTTTATGANTTAAAATCATCAATTTTGTGATTGTAAACTCTATCTGTATACAGATACATTTATTTTAGCAATAAACGTTATCTTATCTTATCTTATCTTACCTTATCCAACTACTTTTAGCTAATGATAAAATTTACCACTGATAAAATGTTTAGACTGTTTCTTTCAGATTAAAATCTTGATAAAAATAGCTTTACTTTTTTGTGAAAAAAAGGTTTATTATTAACATAAATTTCAATTAGAAGGATTACAAATTTTTGTTAAAGCACCTGTTATTTTTTACATTTCTGCTACAATTACAGAAATTAAAAGTCAACAATGACATTGCTTCATTTAACAGTTCAACCAAAATCCGTTGGTCCAATTTTGAAATAAAAGCCTTTCTTAGTTTTTACATTTCTGTTAAAATTAAATTTCAACCATGAGCTTTTTTCATTTTACTAAGAGCCGTTGGTTTAATTTTTTAGATACATTTCAACTTAATAAATAATTAACTATCCCTTTATAATTTAATAATTTATTATTATTTTAATATAATTTAATAATTAATTATTAAGATGTGATGAGATGTATGATAAACAATGTGATGGAGAGACCTCAATGCCGTTCTACCGGGCACACTATGATCGGCAGACAGGACAGAGTCCTAACTCACCTAGAGAACAGGTAAAACGAGCTTAAAGGGACTATACGCGTAATTTCATGTGATGTAATGATGGCAATGCCCGATTTACAATGGTGCCCTTAAAATCTTTGTCTGTTTAAGAATAAACTATAGATATAAATTTTTATACTTAAAAAACTGATTATTTTCAATTGTGGTTCCTCTGCAAAAGTGACTTCTGCAGAAAACTATGTCGGAATTATCAGAAATTAACACTTTTGAACCTAAAAAAAGTCAATGTCTTCAACATTATTGATCAGATAAAGGTTTCAAGGGTACCGTTGTGAATCGAGCACATAAAATTACGCTTAGGCCTGACATTCCCTTTAGAGGGACTGTTGGTACCCCTGTTGAACCCTGTGGAATGTGGAGCCCCTGATTAGTAATTCTAATAATCCTGTTTAGACAAACAAGATGACAGCCTGGATAGATGGTAGTTTCATCTACTCTACTGTAGAACCCTGGGTTAACATCATGCGAAGCTTTCAGGACGGGTATGCATAGCTTTATAACAAAGAGAAGAGAGTACAAAAATATATTAAAGACTAGAATATGCGATATTTTTCACAGGTTCCAGTTCCATTGTGAACAACTGGAGTACACGACCAATAAATCTGTATTCATGGATATTTAAGGATCCTTTGGGTACGAAATACAAAACCTTTAAAAATAAATAGGATTTTTTGTGGAGTATTTCTTTAAAAAATGTAAAACTTACTCCAGGAACGGGTATTATATGCAACCAGTGGCCCTGTTGTGTACGTTTTTGCGACTGTCTTCTTGTTTTTTATAATCCTGTAAGAAAATAGCTTTTACTTTGACATTCAGAAGATAAGTTCAGTAATAAAATTATAATTTATAATTTTAGGAAGTTAAGAATAACTGAGGAAGGATATCCCCCCTTTAACACTGTGGTAAGTAATCCTTTAAATTTTTCTTTTTTTTCAAAGGAATTAAGTCTTTGTTACGTCTTACTTATTCTAATCTCTATATATCTTTGCATCCTGATGTTGTAAACTTCAAATTTAGATTATTTGAACTAACAGAATTCATACAGCATAGCAATACTTAAGAGTATTTGATGGTGATACAAGGCAAATAGTTTTACTAGACACATAAAATCACTTATTTAGTGAAATGGGTCTGTTCCCACTGCACAATTGTTGTGTTTCTTTTGTGAACTTTTTTAAGATAAAACTTGATTCTTAAAGTAGTCCTACCATTCCAGAGTTTTCTGGTTATCACTGTAGTTTAAAATATCTAAAGTCTACACTCTACAGATTTTCAATATCTCGCAGAAAAATTTTGATTGTTCATTATTTTTATTAAATATTCAGGAACATTTTAGTTTCTTATCTATATCGGAAAATGTTCAAACCCCGTCAAAAATATAAATGGATTAGTATAAATTCATCTTTGTGAAAAATAAAACCGAATCGACCTATACACTATATAGTTTAGATTCTTTTAATGAAGTCATTTTACTTAATTACGATTAAGCTTTATTCACACTTTTTATTCAAATCATAATAACTATTTATATACACTGTTATTTTGGTTCTCAGTGTTATAAAGTTTTTGTCCCGAGCTTTAGCGAGGGACAAAATATAATCTAAAAAGGCGAGAACCTTCGAGATATAGAGGACATTTAGGTCCAAAAATTGTATAGCATGTCGTGCCAAAATAATAGTGTTATAGGTAATTTTATGAAACGTTTGTGTACTTTGAAACAAAGCAGAAGTCAAAATTGATTTAAATTTTATTTTCATTTCAATTGAAACAAATATTTTGGAAATACCCAAATTTTTTTGGAGAAAATCCAGGGAATCAAAACAAGTATAGCACACGTACTATAATGAACAGCTAATTTAACATTATAGCACGATAATTACTTTATAACACGTTCATTATGAAAATCACCATGAAGTAAGTAATAATGATAAAGTACACTATAGTGTTACAAAATACATTTCGTATTTAGTGGCTATTATGGATTTTGAGAAATCCTGATTTTTTCCATTTTTTCTTTAAAATGAATTACATGTCATTTTTAAAACACAACCTAAAAATTATTGTCTTTTTTATTGCTTATACTTTTTATTAATATTATTATTAAGATTTATTTCACACACAAATATAAATTAATATAAAAAGGTATTAAAAGTATTGATATTAAATTACTAAAATTCAATGTATTTATACAAAAAAAATCTCTAATTTCATTAAATTAATTAGCTTTTTAAAGAATCAAAAAATGCTCATTGATTGTTACTATCTCGATGGGTTTTATCGTATTATTACTATTCAATGTAAGAACAAGAATTAAGACAATATTGAGGAAAAAAATTTATGCTAAAATCTGGTTTCTTGCAGATATTAACTATTTGGAATTTTACCAGGGTGTTCCATTGCATAACTTCCCAGTACCTCATTTATTAAAACCAGCTGATCCATCCAGGATGTACATTCTTGGAGATGCAAGGTCAGGACAAGACAAGACAGGACAAATCAAGACAAGACAAGACAAGACAAGACAAGACAAGACAAGACAAGACAATACTAAAGCAGAGAATCCAAAAGAACATTTGATAGCTTGGATATCTTCCACCATTAATTGAGACTTCTACCATTATTTAGATAAAGCTAATTAGCTTTCATTGACTTTTTTTTTGTGATATGGTTGGATAGATGACATATCCAGTTATATAGCTTTCAAAAGTCGATCTCAAGAATACTCATACACAGGTTACTTACTGACTAACAGATTCACTGATGCGATACTTAATTCACGACTTTATTCAGTATTTTTTACTGGNATCTATTTATTCGCATGATTACAGGAACGGATGTATCGGGTATCTGGTTTATTGTAAAATACGGTGAAAACTGTGAAATAAGAAGACGACTTTAAAGCAAGTGTATTAGATGTTGTTACAAAGCAAATAGTTTTACGAGACACTTATAAAATCACTTATTTAGTGAAATGGGTTTGTTTACATTGTACAATTGCTGTGTCCCATGCTTATTGGACTATGCTTTAGCATAACTTGTGTCTAAAAGTCGTCTTTCTATTTCCGAGTTTTCTGGAAGAAAGAACTAAAACTATGAGTATGAAGCAAAGAAGTCGTCGACTATATTTGTCTCAGAGAAGTATCTGTCTCTAGATGCTGACACTAATTTGGCGGGTTTATGCCTGTGGCGTGGAGAAAATGTAAATTCAGGGGCGTATACAAGAATTTTTCCAGTGGGGGTTATCCAGGAGGGAGGATTAGACATTAAACGCCCCCATGTATGTTATATTTATTATAGTTTTCGATTTTTCCTGGCTGTTGCAAATGAAGACGATGTTTAAGAACATTTTGATTTGAGAGAAGTTTATTGCCTGCTTTTGTTTGTGTATAATATTTATATAATATTTATAATCACAAATTATTACATTCATTCATTCTCGAATAAGCAATTACTTGTATTTTTATGATATTTTACATGAATATAACGGCCACAAACACCTCCCTTACGTATAAAATCTAAATTACATATTCACAAATTCTGGTGGTCTGGTGGGTACCGTTATGGGTAGCGTTAGGGTAGTGTTTTTATAGATACACTTTATCAAATATATCTAGATATAGCTCATCTTTTCTTTCGTAATTCGACCTTCAGATCCGCGATATACCATACCGTACCATACCATACCATACCATACCGTTTCCTGACATTTATGATCCTCTGCTACTGTAAACTTTCTTTCCTGGCAAAGTCATTTAAAAGACCATGACAAGACTATCTTCAAGGAAGAAGGCTTAAAATAACCTTAGAACCGTCATATTTAGAATTTTTAGGTCGTCTTTACAGTCTCATACATTGTGGATAACCCTGTATATTATGTATAAAGAAGCCAAACAAGCATGATAATTATAAGACGACTTTCGAATCGTCTTTATTTTCCGACTTGATAAGATAAGGGATTGTAAAATAAAAAGTTAAGTTCTAACATACCACTGCGATTTAATGGTCTCACGCTCTCTAGCAAAAATCGTTGAGAATTTTGCCAATTACTTCTAAAAAAACCAAATCTAACAAGAAGTGCTTTACAGTGCTAAAATGTACATGTAAAGGGCTACAGAAAAGCATAAGTGAGTTAGAGCGGTAAAATCTAAGCTTAGGGCGTTGCGACACTTCAAAGTCAGCCCTGTTTTTAAAATTGATGAGACTGTTTATAAGGAGGCTGAATCTATGTGATACATCTTTACTCACTTGCATTAGCGGGAACATATGTAATTATATCATCTTTTGTAAATCACTATGTTTAGATAATTTGTATAAAATTATAAAAAAAAAATTATGCTTACAGGGTTACCAAGTGTGTACGCCCCTGAATTTATGTTTACTCAGATAATCTGGATACCGTTAGGCTCAATGTAAATTGTTCTCCCTAGAGCTACAAAATTTTCGAGAAGAAGAGAAAAAATCTAACAATAAATTTTTTAAATAATTACTGAAGATAAAATATAAAAATAATTTGCACTCAGTCATTTCAAAAAATCAAATATAAAGATTATATAATTTTTTTAACTTCTTCTCTTTTCCCTTCAACAAATGAATAAATGCACTTCTTTGCATCCTTCACTCTTGTTCTGACAGGTTGCAGTTGTATCAAGAAGAAGTTTTACACCCAGTTCATATGCACTTAATAGTGCATTGTACACACACTTCACAGTACAACCATCTAACCAAACCAAATATTAATTTTTCTCTCTTTTTACTTTTTCATTCATTTATATATTTATCTACCTCCATTTATTTATTTATTCATTTATTCATTTCATTTATTCATTTATTCATTTATTCATTTATTCATTTATTCATTTATTCATTTATTCATTTATTCATTTATTCATTTATTCAAATGTTAGATTCTCTTCTTTCTTTCTTTCTAATATTTACTTGTATACTTGAGACCTGCTAGACGTATAGGAATCCATGGTTTCCTGGTACTTTTGGAGTTAGAATTGTAAAAAGAGGCAGGAACCAGACGTATACCGTTTTAACCCGGATAAAAACCCCCCTCACCCACTTTCCCGAAGTGGGAAAAACTCCCCGACAGGTTCTTATGCGTTTAGATGCAGGGTTCAGTTATTCACCGCTCTGGCCCTGGTTGTATATATAGGTATGTATAATGTATATATAAATGTATGTATAATGTATATATATAGGTATGTATAATGTATATATATATAGGTATGTATAATGTATATATATATGTATGTATAATGTATATATATAGGTATGTATAATGTATATATATATAGGTATGTATAATGTATATATATATGTATGTATAATGTATATATATAGGTATGTATAATGTATATATATATAGGTATGTATAATGTATATATATATGTATGTATAATGTATATATATAGGTATGTATAATGTATATATATATAGGTATGTATAATGTATATATATATGTATGTATAATGTGTATATTTAGGTATGTATAATGTATATATATATNTATCCTGTAGTAAATGATATCCATCTACCAAGGGTTGGATTAAGAACTTGTATCCTGTAGTAAATGATATCCATCTACCAAGGGTTGGATTAAGAACTTGTATCCTGTAGTAAATTATATCCATCTACCCGGCCATGTTTGGATATAACGACGAGAAAGCAAGTATCGGAGAGAGCGAAGTAGAGCGCTCCGGTTCCCCTATATATCAGGGGTAGGATGAGCAGAAGGTGTTAGTTTAAAACATGGGTTCGTTTACGTTCCTTCTCTCCATCCTACTCATTGGTCAGGTTCTCTCACAATCCAGGGATGAATATATCAGAGCTCATCGGCTTAATAGAGAAAGGTAATTATATTTTTTAGTTTCAATTCATTCCAACATTTCTTTTTAAAACCAAATATTCTAACCAGAAGAAGATACTGTAAACCTTATAATGAAGACAGTATGCATGTATGTTCATTGTTGAATCGGTATGTAATCATAAACATTTATTTATTTCAATGTATTTGACAAAGTAGTTTTTCCAGAAAATTAAATTTTCGAATCCATCTTTGTAACCTAATAGTGTAAGCCTTTGATGTTACAAACTTTAACTATTTGATCTAACATAATTTTTATATGAAATATCACAGATCTACAACATTGGGTTGCACAGATATTAGAAAATCAGAGTTTGGGGCAAAAACTCAATTCCTTTAGTTGTATTTACTTAAAATCTTCGATATTTTAATTTTTAATTTCAACTCCGAAATAATCAGCTAAATTGTTTTTTTTTCAATTTTAAACGAAAACTTAGATTTCAATAGATTTAAAAAAACAACAGAAAACAAGCAAATGAACTAATTACTCTCTTTAAACTTTCAGTTTCTAATTCATAGAACCCTTGGTATTTCTGACTTTTAATATTTCACCTTGCCTAATTCATAGTTTTAAATATCAAAGCTTTACACTATTTGCTTGAAAAGATATTGAGATTGGAAAATCAAAGTTTGAAGAGAGTAATCAATTTCTTTGTCCCATACATTAAGATTTTAAGTATTTTAACAACATCCAAAGAATTGACAAGAATTGACGAGTCTAACAAATATATAGTTTATTAATGCAATATACTATCCGAAGTCTAATTCTAAAAGCGATTTGTCAAAACGATTAGTAAAATCGTTTAATAAATCATTTTGAAAAATTGTTTTGGTTTATATCTTTGGTCAGAGAAAAAATGTTGTGTAAAGTAAAGAATGCAAACTTATCAAGCATAAAATTCTAAAGCAGGATATCTCAGATCACTTCGGGAATGCTTTTAATTCCAAAATAGCTGGAATGTTCAAAAATAGTCCTCTAAATGATAAACGGTTCTCTAAATGATAAACGGTCCTCTAAATGATAAACTGTCCTCTAAATGATAAACGGTCCTCTAAATGAAAAACGGTCCTCTAAATGATAAACGGTCCTCTAAATAATGCCAATCTCTAGAAAGGAATACTCTTGTTATCATTCTAAAACAACACCATGTTAACAGCATAAAAATAAACTACATTATCTATATAATAAAACAAGTTTATATATTCCCTATTTCCGGCCAAACGGCTGGACCGAATGGGCTGAATTTTTAGGGAACCCATGGGTGCCCGAAGAGTAACATACGCTAAAAAATTCGAAATATATTTTTAAATGGAATTTTTTTCTTTCAAAAATAGATATATTTTTTCTTTAAAAATTCCACGGGAAACGCCGGGCACTTCAGCTTGTAATTCTTAAAAGAAGAAGAAAGATTTCTCTGATCGATTAAAAGATCTGAAAAGTAAATGATCAGATATTTTGGCAATTATAAAAAAGGAATTGAGTCTTTGCCACAAACTCAAATTTTCTAATCCATATATCTTAGACACCTAGAGTGGTGTAAACCTTTGATATTTCAAACAAGATTATTTGATCTAACAGAATACATAGCTTAAAATATCTAAGATCTACGACATTGGATTGCAAAGACGTATTTCAAACTTGGACTAATTGATCTAACAAATTCTTAGTTTACTAAATTTAAGGTCTACGATAGTGGGTTGCAAAGATATAGGGATAAGAAAATCATAGTTCTTTCGTAAATATTATTTTTTCCCTCAGAATCTAACAGTTTTACGGGAAACACTAACTTTCAAGAGTCATTATTTTATCTAGAAATTGAAATTTTTTCTTTTTTTACATTTTTGTTGTTAATTCAAGTTTCTCGTTGCTCGTAGAAGGGGGAAATACGTAAACTGTAGAATAATGATCTGAGAGGTCAAAGAATCTCATTAATGTTCATTTATCTGCTTAGATTGTCATTTGTGCTAAATTCCTCGCCAATATTTATAGGAGACTAAATTCGCAAATCTGCTGGCAGGGAATAATTGTCTGTATAGGAGAGGGGGGGGGGAGACTGAGACTTTACAAACAATATTACAGTTTTTTCCAGTTTTAAATTTCTTGTTTATTGTCACTGTAACGTTATTCATTTCTTTGCCAAATGATTGAATAGCGTATTAAAGATTGTTTTGAATGCAATTCGTAACTAATGGCGCTTAAAATTTATTTTGATTTCAAATGGATTAAGTTTATACCAGAATGTCGTAGAAAGGAATTTAGTATTTGTCACAAACTTATCCCAATGTCTTTGCAACCCATTGTCACAGACCATATATATTTCAAACTATGAATTCTTCAAGTAATCTAAGTTTATAGGTTAACACTAGCAGGTGGCAAAGGTTTAAGGATTCGAAAATTTAAGTTTGTGGCAAAAACTCACTTCATATTTTTTCGATCTCTGAAAAAAAAACTTTAATCTGAAAGTATCACTAAATTAAATATGTACAGAGAGATTTTTTCATGCCAAAGCCGAAGTTTTTTATCTATTCTTATTATCTATATCTTTGTAACCTAATTTCGGAGACATTTAAAGCTCTGAATTCTGTGAGATCAAATAGTTTAAGTTTGAAACATTTTTACCCCTGGTTGAAAAGATATTGGGACTTGTAAATTCGAGTTTTTGACAAAAGAGAATATAAGAGTAGATATCAAATATGTAAAATCGGTTTAAAAAAGGCTTTGTTATTATCTGTTTTTTGAACACCTTCAAGTTCTACTGATGCAAAAAAACTGTTTTGCACTTAAAGTTTTTTATTTCTGGAGGATTAAAATACGAGGTGAAGGATAAAGATATTTCTGTTACTTGTTTTAAATCTAAAATGTTGAAAACTCATTTTCTTAACTTTTATTATGATTGACGAGGAGAATTTAATTAAAAACTAATATGTTTAGTCCGGACAGTTCCTTGTTATCTGTATCCGCTAGGTAAGATTTAAACAGTGTTCTCCCTGTCTCCGGGTCCTGTCGTAACCCTGTCCAGCTCACAGACTAATCCGGAGTGTTTGTAACAATGTTTTCTCTGTTTTTTACTAATAACCTCTAACCTAACCCAACCCAACCCATCTAAAGTAGTTCCACCGAAAACTATTTCTCCATAATTTTTTTCTTTTATTTAACCTGTAAAGTGTACAGTACATACAACTGAACATATGAATTGTACATATACTAGATTCATGTATAAAGATATATATACTCATAAGTGTACAGTACATACAACTGAACATATGAATTGTACATATACTAGATTCATGTATAAAGATATATATACTCATAAGTGTACAGTACATACAACGAATATATGAATTGTACATACACTAAATTCATGTATAAAGATATATATACTCAGAAGTGTACAGTACATATACAACGAACATATGAATTGGACATATATAAACTCATAAGTGTACAGCACATACAACGAACATATGAATTGTACATATACTAGATACATGTATAAAGACATACTCATAAGTCAAAATATGCGTCAGTGTGAGCTTAGAAACTCTGACGCGAATATTTTCAGTTTGGAATTTTCCTTAATTCTATTCTAGAAAAAGAGGACAATAAAGGATTTAAAGGGACTGTGAAGGAAAACTATAAGGGGGTATAGGATGAAACATGAGAATCTCAGTTGATCGAGACCTTCAAGACGCCTAGCTGATGTTCCTGTCTCGAAAAATTGACATAAAACTGTGTAAAAAATATACCAAAACGTATATTTGTTAAATTTTTTATAAGATTCGTTGTATTAAACTGACCATAATCAACAAATGTGCAACCAATCTGAAAACGACAATATTCCAAAGGAGCCTGAGAAACTCAGGTTTGCTCCTATTATTATTAAAATTTGATAATTTTTCATTTTTAATAGATACAATTGATAATATTATTTACACGTCCGGATCATGGGACCTGAACTCCAACCAATGGTAGTGCAGTACTATTGTCATGCTTCTCCGTCTGTAACACGTGACCAGTATACTGCTTTGCTATTGGAGGGAGTTCTGGTCACGGGGATACGGACGTATATCTTACAAATATACATTTTGGTATAATTTTATGTCAGCTTTATGTCAATTTCGCGAGACAGGAACATCAGCTAGATGTCTTACAGGTCTCAATCAACTCCTGAGATTCTCAGGTTTCAGCCTATACCCGCTTTCATTTTTCCTTCACAGTCCCTTTAAGGACAACTTAAAAAATGGACGATAAGTTGTGAACTTGCATGACTGACTGTAATTGAGTAAAGTTTAGGGTCAGCAGCCGGGTACCTGGGTAAGGTTTAGGGTCTGGAGCAAGTTATCTGAGTTAGGCTTATGGTCTGCAGCAAGGTACCTGAATGGTGAGTAAGGTTTAGGGTCTAGAGCTAGATAACTGAGTCAGGTTTAAATTCCGGAGCAAGGTACCAAGCTGAGTTTAGGGTCTGAAGCAAGGTACCTGAGTACGGTTTAGGGTTTGGAGCAAGGTACCTGGGTAAGGTTTAGGGTATGAAGCAAGGTATCTAAGTAAGGTTTAGGGTATGAAGCAAGGTACCTAAGTAAGGTTTAGTCTGAAGAAAGGTACCTGGGTAAGGTTTGGGGTATGAAGCAAGGTACCTAAGTAAGGTTGAATATGAAGAAAGTTACCTAGGTAAGGTTTAGGGTATGAAGCAAGGTACTTAAGTAAGGTTAGGGTCTGGAGAAAGGTACCTGGGTAAGATTTAGGGTATGAAGCAAGGTACCTGAGTACGGTTTAGGGTTTGGAGCAAGGTACCTAATTAAGGTTTAGGGTATGAAGCAAGGTACTTAAGTAAGGTTAGGGTCTGGAGAAAGGTACCTGGGTAAGATTTAGGGTATGAAGCAAGGTACCTAAGTAAGGTTTAGGGTATGAAGCAAGGTACTTAAGTAAGGTTAGGGTCTGGAGAAAGGTACCTGGGTAAGATGGGACCTTCTGCACTTTTTGCCATTTTGCAACAGTCACACTGGGGCACATTTTTCAGGAATTTTGCAATCGTTGCAAAAAGGAATTTGTTAAAATTTGTAAAAATCGTTTCTTGAGTTTCTGAGAAAATTTGTCGTTATTTAACTCCTATTGTTAATATTTTTATTGAACTGATTTAGAGCCCGACAAGCCAGGAAGCAAAGCATCAAGGATCATGTAGAAACCCTGTTCAACTGGAAAGGGAAGAGTATGCCGAGTGGGACGGATGGATTGATGGATGGTATCCAGGTACCAGGAGACTCCAGGTCCAAGTTGGATATATCTCAGTATCCGATGGATTTCACAGAAAGGGTTCAGAGCTTCTTCCCAGAGTGTAAGTTTCTATCCAAATCTTGTTAACTGGATATTTCCTGGCGGTGTTTAATAGAAAATCTCATTTGTTTGGCAATTTTTAGTTAAAAGTATTCTCCATATCTCTCCTGCAATTTTTCACTAAAAGCCCAGTTAAAGTTCCATTTTTTAGCAATTTTTAGATGAAAGTTTGCCCGTTTATTGTAAAATCATCGATCCTTTAGCAATTTAAAGTTTAAAATTTTCCCATTTATTATAAAATCACCAATCCTTTGGCAATTTAAAGTTTAAAGTTTTCCCGTTTATTGTAAAATCACCAATCCTTTGGCAATTTAAAGTTTAAAGTTTTCCCATTTATCGTAAAATCATCAATCCTTGGCAATTTAAAGTTTAAAGTTTTCCCGTTTATTGTAAAATCATCAATCCTTTGGCAATTTAAAGTTTAAAGTTTGCCTCGGTTAGAGCAAACCTGTATTTTCCTTACAATTTCCAGTTGAAAATAGGTGTCTTAAGATAATTTTGCCTCTGTTGATTTTTCTATTTTTCTCTCTTTTTTATGATTCGGTGTGTTAGATTTTAAAAAAAATTTACTAATGATATACTTCTCAGGTGATATTGACGACAACTACCTCCTTCAGCTCCCTGATACACCAAACTCAGAGATTCTAATCTTCAAAATCAAGTTCCCAGTTCCACGTCCTGGAACTCTGCTCAGTATAGTCGAGGCCAGACTAAGGATGTTCAAGCTCCACTCGGAGATGATCGAGGACACACCAGACTGTCCTAGAGAGCAGAGGATGAGGATAACTGCGTCCTGGATTCAACTCAAGAACCATGCTAACTCTGATGCTGGTAATTTCATCTTCTAAAAACTCAGATTTAAATCTTTAATTCACTTTTATTCTCGAGAAACGTGCAATCTTTTAGCTTTTAAAACATTATTGGGGATTGTGCTAAGCACTTATCGTGTGTACTGGTTTAAGAACAAGAGAAGTGGTTCAACTTAGTCTACGTAGTTCAACTACTTTTTTCACAGGCATCTTATATTTTAAAGTTGCTGAGACCGTGATGCTAGATTCCATCATGGTTGATTTAAGTGTGAATGGATGGATTTCTTTAGATGTTACCGGAGCTGTCAGGTTGGTTTAAAACAAGGGTATAATGCAAGGAAAGTAAATTGCAGTTGCATATACATTGTGTACATATTGAAACCAGTTCTCTCTGGGAGAAATTTGTAAACAAGAATAGATGCATCAGTTTTCGTTTAGTAGTTTGAAAATTTTGATTATTCACAATATAGTTTCCTATAACTAGAATATTTCATTGATTTTTTATGTGAAAGATGGATCCCATGTGAGGCTGTGACATCCATCATGTATTTACATTACCGCCCAGAGACAGTACACTGCAGTACAAAAGATGCGTACACCTCTGAAATAACTGTCTTTGCATTATAACCTTGAAAACAAATAAAGATTAATAAATAAAACAAAATATTGACCCCCCACACACACCGTGTATACAATTAAAATCCCTAATTAAAATAACCATTTTTTTTGTTTGTAAATTTGACTACGAATTTAATTTTTAATTTGAAATATTAAATATATTATTCAATTAATATTCGTGAAAAGTTTCTGAATTTTTATGTCTGATTTGGAAGCAGGAGAATTCCTATGAAAGATTTAAAGCTTGAAAGGAGTGAAGTCTTTGTCTTAAACTCTGATTTTCTAATCCCTATATCTTTGCTGTTGTAAAATTTTGATATTTCAAGCTATGTATGTACGTATTTTGTCAAATAGTCTCAGTTTCAATTATCAAAGGTTTACACTATCAGAAAGCAAAGATAAAGGGATTAGAAAATTTGAGTTTGTGGCAAAGACTTATTTCCTTATTGTAATTATTTCCTTCAGGAGTTGGTATAATCATCCTCATCGTCCCTCTGCTGTCCTAGTAGAGGTTGAGAACAGTCGGAGAGAAACTCTTCAAACTAGAAACCTTCTCCAACCTCTAAACTGCTCTTCATCCTCAGGTATAGATATTGTGTGAATCATTCCAAGTTTATGCAGACTTGTATCTTTTGAGACAAAATACAGAATTGCACATTTTTATAGCCGGAGCTAATCCAACCCTATCCAGTGGGAGCAGAGCAGCCAGGCCTAGTCCTTACCTACCTGGAGCACCCTTACTCAACCTCAATCAGGACATGCATCCTCTCATAGATATCACAACCTTTGAGGTATAAATATACATAAATACAAACAAATATACTTTTAACATGGATAATTATGGACGATTAGTTTGAATTTCTCAGGTTCCAACTGGAAAAGGTCGGACTGGAAGCAACCTCTCTCCGGGTGTATCTGAACCTGAACAATCCTCTTCACCTCTTCCAGGAGCATCTAGTCAATATACCGGAGATTCCAATAAATTTCTCCAGAAACTCCAAGAGATAGATTACCTAGCCTCAAGTTCGTTACTTGAACAACGATACCCAACTCGAGACCTTTTTACTGCGCATCATAAACCTCGAGGTCTTGGTAGTTCGGATCCAACTCCGATATTTCAAAAGGTTGTGTTGAGCAGAGATGAGCTACTCCGTAGGTTAGGAGAGTTGAATGAACTGCAGACAACAGACAGGGATACAGAAGCAAGAGTTCTCTCTCAACTCCTTCAACAAGTTATCAATGATTCCTAACTACAGAGCCCCCCTCCCTCCCCCTCCTTAACTTAATAATTGATTGCAAAATGTACTTCTTTGGTAAATTGTACTACATTGAACAGACTGCATTGTAGATTGTACAACACTGTTTTGTGCAGCACTACATTGTACAGCACTGTATTGAACAGCACTGCATTGTATATTGTACAACACTGTTTTGTGCAGCACTACATTGTACAACACTGCATTGAACAGCACTGCATTGTAGATTGTACAACACTGTTTTGTGCAGCACTACATTGTACAACACTGCATTGAACAGCACTGCATTGTAGATTGCACAACACTGTTTTGTGCAGCACTACATTGTACAATACTGCATTGAACAGCACTGCATTGTAGATTGTACAACACTGTTTTGTGCAGCACTACATTGTAAAACACTGCATTGAACAGCACTGCATTGTAGATTGCACAACACTGTTTTGTGCAGCACTGCATTGTACAGCACTGTATTGTACAACACTGTATTGTACAACACTGTATTGTACAACACTGCAATGCAGTACAGTTTAAAGTAATTTTACACTATGTTCTGCATTTTAGACTGCACCCAAAAACAAAACATTATTTAAATGTAATGTACATTGTACAACCACTTTATGTAATAGTTAAAATACTTTCCTGTAATGTACTGCTCCGTACTGTAATGTACAGCTCCGTACTGTAATGTACTGCTCTGTACTGTAATGTACTGCTCCGTACTGTAATGTATTGCTCTGTACTGTAATTTACTACTCCGTACTGTACTGTACTGCTGCGTACTGTAATGTTTGCTCGGCTCAAACTTTGATCTCATCTCTTGTCAGGTTCTCTGCTTCCTGCGCAATTATCTTCAATAAATTCATTGTACATTATTATTTTACAAATAAACAAGAAATATGTTTTTCAACAAAACTATTTTTATATTAAACACATCATAGTTCATTTTACAGCTTTACGCTGGGAAAGGAATTGAATCTTTGCCACACACTCTAATTTTCTTTCTCCCCATATTTCCGTACATCTTCGATACTTCATTAACTATGAATTCTGTTGGTTTAAATAAACTAAGTTTGTAAAGATATAGGGATTAGAAAATATTTAGTTTATGTCAAAAACTAATTCCTTCAGGACTCTATAGATCAAAAATGTTTCGTAAAGATCATTCTACATTTTGTAATTCTACCTTTTGTACGTGAGCAGTTAAAATGGAGTAATTAAAACAATTATTTATTATGTGGTTTAAAATTATTCACTTTACAATCATGTGGATACATAATTAATGTTTGATTTATATTGATTTTTAGATGAAAAAACGTGTGTGTAATTCTTATTCTTATCCATCAACCAGTTTGCGTTAAAGATGAATTGGATTAGAATATTATATGAGGATTCGAGGATGCACGAAATATAAATAAATAAGAGATTTCTCTCCAGGTTTGCAGAACTATAAGGCAATCGTCGCTAATCAGTCGAGGTTCTTTTAAGGGGATAGTAGACGTAATTTCCGGTGGTACTCCAAAGAAGTGGCATGTATGATTAACAATGATACGAACCCTTTAATCTTTATCTGAGTAGCAATAAGGAAGATATCATCGTTTTTCTGTCTTGAAGTTGTTAATTCTGACAATTTCCTTCATAATCTCTCTTGCATAAATTGGCAAGTCACTTTTACAGAGAAATCAATTTTAGTTATAAAAACTAAGATATCTCATTCATCAGAGATCAGGTTTCAAGGGTTCCGCTGTAAATTGAATTAAAGGGTCCCATAAAATTGCATTTTTCGGCCCTTCAAGGATTGAAGAGAATAAAAAGGTTCGACGGCCCGAGATTTAAAAGTGTTTTCTAGAGACCGGGTGGTCTAATAAAACAAATAATTCTCCGGGATGTTTTAAGCTTCCAAATTTTCTAAGCTCCGTACGGCTTTAAGGTCACGAAGGTTCTAGACTCCAGGAGGGTTTAATCTCCAAGAGTTTTTTAATCTCCGGGATATTTTAAGCTCTCGAGGGCCCTAAGCCTCAGATTGTTTTAAGCTCCAGTAAGTTTTAAGCTATTGAAGGTTTCTAGTTCCAGAAGCTTTAGAAGTTTAAAGGTTTTAAACTCCAAAAGGTTTAAAGTCCAAAAGATTTTAAACTCCAGAAGGCTTTAAGCTACAGAAGGTTTTAAGCTACAGAAGATTTTAAGCTACAGAAGGTTTTAAGCTACAGAAGGTTTTAAGCTACTACAGAAGGATTTAAGCTACAGACGGTTTTAAGCTACTACAGAAGGATTTAAGCTACAGAAGGTTTTAAGCTACAGAAGGTTTTAAGCTACAGAAGGTTTTAATCTACAGAAGGTTTTAAACTACAGAAGGTTTTCAACTACAGAAGGTTCTCCAGGATGTTTAAAGCTCTAGGAGACTTTAAACACCAGGACTTTTTAAGTTATAGGAGTCTTTAAACTCTAAAAGGTCCAAAACTGGAAGGTTCTTGGAACAACTGAGGATACCCGGAGCTTGGAGGTTCTATATCCAAAGAGGTGCCAGGGCCCAGGAGGTTCTGTGCTCCGTGAGGTTCCAGGGACCGGGAGGATATTCCAGGTTTCCAAACTGAGGCTAGTACTCTACAGAGTAGGATGAGAAGTGCATTTAAATATCTAGGAGGAGGAAAACACAACCAGGCATCATCAATACCAGACAATCATCAGATTCAACAAATAGAAAACAATGAAGGAAAAGAGTAAGTTAAATGTATTTATGATATTAACAATGAACTTTCGAACCCATTTTGTATTCTTTTTATTTTACACTTTTGTTGGGCTAAATTAAAGTATGTAAAGGTCCAATAAACTCTTTTTGATGGATTAAGAATGACGATCAAAACTTAAATGAGTTTATTTCTATGCAGACCGGACAGAATTAGATCTTGTTAGCTTTGCGTGAAGAAGGGGGGGTATAGTTTTTTTTATTTTTGCTCCGCCCCCCCCCCCAATAGCCAAATTTCATGCATGGTTGTGTTTACGAGAATGTTACAGATTTTGGTATGGTTTTTTAACCGTAAGATTTAAACAGTTCAACATTTTTGTTTTAGTCTTTTGCAAACTTAATTCAACCTTCAGCTTATTATTCCTTCATTAAGGTGTTTGCTTAAAAGATACATCTATGTACAATTATGTAATTTAATGATACATCTATTTATGTCATTGTAAAGGGTATTATTAAGTGCGAAAAAGTTTTTGCTTGGATTTTTATTTTGATCAAAAACAAACTAGAAAAATTAAAAATCACAGCAAAAACTTGTTCGCACGCATGATACCCATTTCAATAACATATATATAGTTTTATTCAGCTTTACTCAAATTCTTTAAGTAACTTTATCACCCTACAATGAGACAAATTTGGTATGAAATTTGAAATTTTAATAGCAGATTGAAAAAGTTGTAGGGCGATAAAGTCACTTAATCACCCTACAACGGGAAATATTAGGTATATAAATTCCATCAAAATTGAATAATATATTTATATATCGATCTTTAGATTAAAGTCGTCAAATTCTCTTCTCGATATCATAGATATATTTATCTAAAGCTATGTATCCTGAGTAAATATGATTAAAGACATAATATATAGAATATCAATAATACGTCCTACGGGGCTGAGGCACATATACAATGTAATGGATATTACATAATGTTAAATAGTTGGATTGAATGAACGTGGATCTAGTTCCACGATTAACATTAAAAAAATTTATCTTTTTTGTAAACATTAACTTGAATTTAATTTCACAGTGTTATTGTGCCTCATGTTCCGAGCCTGTATAAACACATATTTCGGAAATAGAGAAAATAAAATTGAGCTAAAGAATTCGTATATAAGTATTGCATAAATGAACAGACACACAGGGTTACCTATATAGGATAAGACTTGAAATAATTTGTCGCCGAAGTCTCATCCCTTGTATTCTGAGTATCCTTGTATGTTTGTTTGTATCCAATAAACGTCAGAATAGGTTAATCTATCAGACCCATGTTTTTTTTTGTAGTAACTCACATGACATCAAAGAATTCGCATACATGGTCAAAACTTAAAGTTTTGCCGCAATTTTTTTGATTAAAACAAATTTAAACAAATGAAAACTTGTTATAGTTATTATTTCAAACTGCCGAAAGATAAGCAACAACAAATTACGATGTTTACGAGACAGTTAGTCTATGTACACATCAAACCCATCTATCTATTTAGTGTCCTGGTTCATGTACCAGTACTCCAGTCTATGTACACATAAAACCTATCTATCTATTTAGTATCCTGGTTCATGTACCGGTACTCCAGTCTATGTACACATAAAACCTATCTATCTATTTAGTATCCTGGTTCATGTACCAATGGATTTCCGTGGTTCTTGCGGACTACTTGTTTCTAAAGACGATTTCTTGGACGAGATTCACAGGTAGAGTTTAACATGTAGATGGTTACAATATTATAGTTCTCTATACTGTTTACATATGTACAGTGATAACCAGAAAACTTTGAAATACGAAGACGACTTTAAGATTCCAGTAATAATGAGCATGAGCAATAGTGCAGTGTAAACTGACTCATTTCAATAAATTAGTGATTTAATAAGTTTGAACTAAAACCATTTGCTTCGTAACAACATCTAATCCACTTGCTATAATGTCTTATTCCTAATACATTGTTTGCTGGTTATCAATGTACATTCCCCACACCAAAGGAATTCAGCCTTTGCCACAAACTCAGACTTTCTAGTCCCCATATCTTTGCAACGCAACGCAATGTTTTAAACTATAAATTCTTTTAGATCAAATAATTATAGTTTGAAATATGAAAGGTTTACACCATCAGGTTGTAAAGATATAGGGATAATATAGTTTTATGATACTTTCCCAAAGGATTTTTCCCAAATGGCAACTTCCCAAGGGTATTTTCCGAAATGGAAACTTCCAATTTTTCAAGTGGCAACTTCCAAAGTATGTCCTAGCCGCAGCGCTCGGCCCCCAGCCTGTTCTAGCCGCGGCAAAGTTTAAAGAAATCATATTCAGCAAATTTTAGGCACGCTCGTATTTTAATTTTAATATTTTTTCATTTAGGTTCCCTTTAAAATTCTATGATGTACTTTTGAACTTGACCTTAAAGGAAACATTAAAATTACATGATGTACTTTTGAACTGGACCTTAAAGGAAACATTAAAATTATATGATGTACTTTTGAACTTGACCTTAAAGGAAACATTAAAAATGTTTCTGTTTCTGTGGAGGCATGGTTTGAATTATCTTTACAGAAACATTTTTTTTATAAAGTAATACAAATCAAATTTTAGTTTTTATGGTTCATCTTAAACTTACATTTATTTATCGCAAACATTCCCTTTAAATATATCAGGAAAGTGAGAAGACAAACAAGCAGAAGGAATCAGAGTTCGAAGGAGTGGAAAGAAGATTTCTTATATCCTGGTTTCATATAAATATATTTTATATCCCTGGTTTCATGTAAATATATTTTATATCCCTGGTTTCATGTAAATATACTTTATATCCTGGTTGCATGTAAATATATTATATATCCCTGGTTTCATGTAAATATACTTTATATCCCTGGTTTCATGTAAATATACTTTATATCCCTGGTTTCATGTAAATATACTTTATATCCCTGGTTTCATGTAAATATACTTTATATCCCTGGTTTCATGTAAATATACTTTATATCCCTGGTTTTATGTACATGTAAAAATACTTTATATCCCTGGTTTCATGTACATATACTTTATATACCTACTTTCACATAAACCTATATTACATCCTTGCTCTCATATACATTTTAATCCATAACTCTCCAATATGAGAATTAAGGTAATTTTTTTAATTTTCATATAATCATGAGATTAAATCTTTTATGGAAAA